AATGATGTTGAGGCTACAAGTAGTGAAGTCAGACTCCACTTCCCCAAATAGCTAATTTATCTCAGCATAATTTAAAACTGACTAGGCCTTTGTTCATTCTTGATAGCAATGTAATAATTCTTTCTTAATTTTCTTATTGAATACTTCAAGGGGGCAACTTGGAAGGGAGAAAGAACAAATATAGGGAGAGAAATGAGGCAGTTTTATTGGGCCTGTCACTGTGTGGGAATTCATCACCTAACCTTGGCTGTTCAGGCAAGAGCAGGAAGACGTTCTTTCCACGGAGATCATGCATCTTTGAAAACACAGTGTTTTCACTGTATTAGTGCAGTGACTTAGTTAAGAATAGAATTCCTTGTTTTCAGTTAAGACTTATTAGTCTTATTAGCACTATCACCATCATCATCACTCTTATCATTGATCATACTAATAAAAACTAACACTAATTGAAACCTTATCCAGAGAGTGCTTCAAGTATTCCAGGTGGTGTAATTACCTCATCTAATCCACCCAGCCCACTATTTATTATTAATCTCCACCTCGTTAGTGAGAACAGGAGAGGGGTTCAGTAACTCGCCCAGGGCCTCACAGTAAATGACAGACCTGGGACTGAGCCCAGATCTGTCTGAGGAAGGATCCTGTGCCCATTTAGCTTGTGCATTGTAACAGCTCAGGGGCAAGTTCCTCCAATCCCTACGCCATTTACAGAATGATCAGGAGCACCGGTTTGGTTGAGGGTTCACATACTGCTGGGCATCTAAAGTCAGGAGGCCGTGGGGTGGTGGCAAGTACCCCAGACTAGATTAACAGTAAGAATAAAGCCAGCCAGCAAACAAAACACACTGTGTAAGTAATTTTTGGGGAATTGCTAGTTCCAGTTCATTGAGTAAACAAATGCTCCTAGGTTGTTAAAAATATGCTAGAAACGGTTTTATTAAAAGTTGACACATTGTAATATTTTTAAAAAGGTTTCACAGAGCAAGTCCAATAAAAACTCTCTCACTTCTTACTAAAAGTGAGCATCTGACAAAATGTTGTCTAGTTTGGATTGCAGAGTTTCAAAACATTTTATTATTCTGCGTACATCTGCTAAGAATAACTACATGTGTTACAAAAAGCAACCTTAAGAAGTTGTGTGTTTATGAAGAATTTTGTTTGACTTCTTTTATTTATTTTTATTTTTTATCTTCATCTGAAGATATGTTTATTGATTTGAGAGAAAGAGAGCATGAGAGAGAGAGAAATATCCATGTGAGAAAAATCGATTGGTTGCCCCCCATATGTGCCCTGCCTGGGGATGGAACCCGCAGCCGAGGGATGTGCCCTGATGGGCAATCAGACTCACCTTTTGGGGGGTACAGAACAGTACTGCAGCCCACTGAGCAGCCCAGCCAGGGCTATCTGACTTCTTTTAAATAAACTGAAGAAAAACAAAGAAAATACCTCTTGAAGAGAGGTACCTCTTGAAGTATCTGTGATGCACATTTAGTGTTATTTTTTTGTAACTTAAATGTGTAAGAATAAAAATACATGGAGGAAACAAATCTTTTAAAAACATATTTTATCAATACTTATTATACTCATGCCAACAGTAAGTATAAAATACATATACCCAGATATCTGTATTTTGAAATTTTCAATAGCAGAAATATTCCTAACAATTTATCTCTTTGACATAATTGCTGAACTTGCTTTGGGGGGTTTATAGTTTATTTAGTTGTTAATATAGAATTTCAGACTGCTTCAAACACCGATGGCTGACAGGTCCTGGGAAGAGTGAGCTCATAGACATGCCAACTGGATGGCACTATGAGACACACATTCCCAGGAACATTAGCAGACAGGCAAGAATAGCCTACTGCACGTTATGTTCTGGCATTAACTAACACTCAGCTGCCAAAGCTGATCGCATGGACCAGGTTCCTTTGCAGAAAAATGCTTTGAAGCTTGAAGGATTCGCTGAAGAAGAACAGATGCCCAAATGCAATACCCATTTGCAGCAAAAAGAAAAAAATGTATAAACCAAGATTTTTACCCCAAAGAAACATAGTTAGCCTTTCTTGCTCTTGAGAGTCGTTACTAAAATACCCGCATGTGAATTCCTTGGGGTCCAGGGAAACCTGCTGCTCCCACCACGTACTGAGCTCTCCTGTGAGTGCCCTTCTGGAGTCCCACTCTCCAAGACAGCAGGACGGGTCAGGGGTCTGGTGACAAAGTCCTCTGGGTAACATAACTTCTTGGACAAGCCCGGCTTAAATTCCATGCTACGAAAGATTGTATCCACTAGAACATGAGCCGCGTGAGGTGACAGATTTTTTTTGCCTTTTTCCCTTTTTCTCTCTCTCCTTTTTATTGTTGTTCAAGTACAGTTGTCTCCACTTTCCCCCCACCCCCAGCCATCCTCATCTCTCACCCTTGATCCTACTGCCCTTTGACTTTGTCCATGAGTCCTTTATATGTGTTCTTTGATGACCCTTCCCCCATTTCCTCTGTTATCACCTCCCACTTCCCTTCTGGTTACTGTCAGGTTATTATTTATTTCAGTGTCTCTGGTTATATTTTGCTTGCTTTTTTGTTTTTTTATTAGGTTCCACTTATAGGTGAGATCATATGGTATTTGTCTTTCACTGCCTGGCTTATTTCACTTAGAATAATGCTATCCAGATCCATCCATGCTGTTGTAAAGAGTAGGAACTCCTTCCTTCTTTCTGCTGCATAGAATTCCATTGTGTAAATGTGCCGCAGTTTTTTGATCCACTCATTTACTGATGGACACTTAGGTTGTTTCCAACACTTGACTATTGTAAATTGTGTTGCTGTGAACATTGGGGTGCATTAATTCTTTTGGATTGGCATTTCAGGATTCTTAGGGTATAATCCCAACAGTGGAATTGCCGGGTCAAAAGGCAGTTCCATTTTTAGTTTTGTGAGGAAATTCTATACTGTTTTCCACAGTGGCTGCACCAGTCTGCATTCCCACCAACAGTGTACTAGGGTTTCCTTTTCTCCACAGTCTTGCCAGCACTTTTTTTTGTTGCTTTGCTTATGATGGCCATTCTGACCAGTGTGAAGTAGTATCTGTGGCTTTAATTTGCATCTCTCTGATGGCTAGTGATGAAGAACATCCTTTCATATGTGTCTGGGCCCTCTGTATGTCCTCCTTGGAAAAGTGTCTGTTCAGGCCCTTTGCCCATTTTTAATTGGGTTGTTTGTCTTCCTGGAGTGGAATCATGTGAGTTCTTTATGTATTTTGGAGATCAAACCCTTGAGGTGACAGATTTTTTAACCATTTTGTTCACTGAAGTAACTTTGGCATGTAAGGTACTTGGCACTTAGTAGGTTCTTAATAAATAAATATTTTTGAATAAATTCATATCAAAGTATAAGCAGAATATACTCTAAAAAAGTTCTCTTTAATGTAATAGCTAGGTCTTAAAGCCATGGGCACTGAACTATGTCCTGGACTTCCTTCACAGACTGTCGCACAAACTGGGGCCTTATCGAAGTTATCCGACCCAGAACATTTTACTCCACTATCTATGTGACTTGCCTATATCATGAGCAGTGACATGAAGTGGAAACTGTGAAAGGCCCAATAATCCACTTCAACAAAGAAATAAATAGATCTCCCCCATCTCAGCCCATCACTTAAGATGTAACATCATTGGAACCAGGAACTACTCATGTCGTAGTTCACATGCCCATATCCATTACCTCGTCATGCCCAGGGTATTCTAGAACAACATGTGAGACCTTGATTTCTTCTGTTCTTTTATTTCCTTGTAACAACATTGCTGGTCCCTCCACTGGTAAAATTTAAGATGAATTCTGTAGAATTTGACGAGGATCCAAGAAATATCTGCCCTTTCCGTGGACTTGGAGCAGAGACCTTTACATCTCAGAGCCGGTCCAGTTCAGATGTACTTTCCTTCAGGAGCCTTCCCTGTTTCTTCCAAGCTCTCTTGGTGTAGTCATTCTCCTCTCTGATCCCATCATATCTCCGGCCTCTTTTAGAGCACCAAGTTGGATGGAAGTGATTAGTGAGTAGCTGCTCCTCCCACTAAAGTGCAAGCTTGCTAAGGGACCATGTCTTACTCCTCAGCATTTATTACTGGGGGAAGCACATTGCCTGGAATACAACAGTGCCTGCCGAGCTCCCTGCTCTGTCTCCCTGCCCTCTGCTGCAGCAGTCATCTTTGATGGCTGTATGTGAAGGCAGAATATAAGAACTGTTCCTCTAATACAGTTGAAGGCACTGTGTTAATTAGTGGACATTCTCTTTAATAGAGGATGTTATTTCTGCTTTAAGAAACAAACTGTTGTCCACAATCTCATGATGCACTGAAATTAGGATCTTTGTTCCAGGGTACAGAAACCCAAATAGAACTAGCTTAAGCCAAATGAGGAATTTATTATAAAGATAGCATGTCTCTGAGAGACCACAGACAGAACAGAATGAGGCTAAACTTGGAGAATACATGGACTACGGACTAGACTGTTGGGAAACTTGAGTCTCATCTCTGTTCTCTCTGGTCAGCTTTCTTTGCTTTTCTGATCCATGTAAAGAAAAACCTGCCTCCCCATAGCTTCAAAATGCAGTTTTATTGTACTCCAAGAACCCAAAAGAGACTAACTTCGGTTCGAGTTCCCAATCCTCCCAGGAATGACTCTAGTTGGCCTGTGTGCATTAAGTGCTCACCTTAGCCCAGCCCAATGCAACTGGAAGTAGGGCTTAGAATATGGCCAGCTTGTGGGGCAGACCATCCCACAGGTGTGTCCACCACACTTCCAAATTCTTTAGTTTCTAAGGAAAACGTATGGTCAGAATGGACTATTTCAAATATATTAATGGTGGTCTCTATAACATATGCAGTTTTTCAAAGCACTAATATTCAAATTTATTTCTCTTAATGCATGGTACCAGTAGAAAATTCACAAGTATATGTGTGTTCATTTTGTTTTAAAAATAAATTTATTTTATTATTTGATAATATTGACAGCTTATATATCCAGGGTCATTTAATATATTCAAAACAATTATAAATACATGTTGAAAAGATATGAAAGTCCTTTGAGTTCTTCGTTGACATCAGGCCTACCAACTTTCAAGAGATAACATTAACAGTTCAAAGTCAAAACAAAATTCTCCAGTCTGAACTGACTTGAGAGATTCCACTGGTCAACCAACATGTGTTCAGGAAAGAAGAAACATGTATACCTTATCATTTTTTAATGCTCAAACAAGCATTTGTGAGCATTCTTAGTGTCAAAGAAAGGGCATGAAATCAGTCCATATGGAGACTTAGAAATAAAACATTTACAACATGAAGTAGTTGTATATAATCCCGTTGTAAGGCTTGTTATTCAGTAAGGAGAAAAAATAGATATAGTACATTATCTGTTGTTTGAGTTAGCTCTCATTGTTATTGGAGCTATGTCTGTGTTACACAGAGGCACAGCCTCAGTCTCACGTAAAACGCAATGCAGGAGAGAAGGTGATACACAACTTCACCTTTTGTCTGAATTCTCCACTTCACTTTGTACATAAAGTCTACACTTACAGGAACATTTACAGAGATTCTGGAAGGGAAGCTGCTTGGCTGACAGGTGCAACAGCCAAGGTACAATAATTTGGGAACATCTTTCATCTGTTTTTGTAAAAGATCTACCCAGGCAATATAGAAAGTTCCATATTCTAAATGTAGATTTTGCTTTTTCAGTTTTTAAAAAGTCCTTATTAAGTGTACTAGGGAGTTAAAGGAGAATTTGGAAAGATGGTCTCAAGTAATAGATGTAGAGACCTGATTTCATTGCAGCAATGTTCACCTGAGAGTAAATACAGTTACTGCTTATTAGAAGAACAAAAATGAGGATGTGGTTATAACCAGTCTCTGCCTGGGCTCTGCTATGCTCTCATTGACCTTTATCCTGGTATCAACAGCATCTTCCGGTGATGCTGTTAATACTTTAGTGAGCATGAGCACTGGAGCTTAAAGACTGTCAGGCATTTCCTTTCCATACCTCTATTCATTACCTTAGGGGGCAAAAATCTGTTTGCTTTATTAACGTAAGAATTATTCATGCCTCTGGGCATTTATAAGGGAGCAAAGAAACATAATACAAGTCAGTGATTCAGTGATACAGAAAACACGGTGGTTAACAGTAATGTATGCTCAGGACTCTGTATTCTCAGTTTCTGCAGGAAAATGATGCCAGCATCTCAGTCACAGCAAAACACAGTTCAGTGGAAAAGTGTTTGGTTTATGTTAGTGAGTTAGGTTGCAGTAAGTCTAACGAATGAAAATGATGGTTCAGAGCACAAATGTTGAATTGGGTAAACTTGGTTTCAGGTTCAGCTCTACCAATTCCTAACTCTGCAAATCTGGATTAAATTACTTGACTTCTTTGGGTCTGTTTCCATAGATGGGAAGTGAGGATCATAATAGATATCTCAAAAGTTCTTGAAAGGATTAGAGGAAATAATATATTTCAAACTCTCAGCACATGGTGTTGTACGAATGGGAGATGTATTATTAACGCAATTTCTAAGATCTAAACTCCTTCCTACTGTTCCTTTTTGTTTAGTGATCCTGATGACAAAATTTAAGTGGAAGTTGATAAATATTTCTCATATTAACTGGGTGCTTTTTCCCCAATTACTAAACAATAATAAAATTTATTATTATTATAAGAACAATAGTAAACAGCACAATCTATTACAAACGTAAATACATGACTTAAAACTCATTTTGTTAGCTTGTTTCCTGAGATACATTCTGTACATTTTCAATTGAACAAGGCATTTTGTATCTTGCCACCAGCCTGAAGGCACCTTCATAGACTCTAGGAAAAAGAATGAAAGAGCAGGCTATTTAAAAGAAATGTACTATGTATCTCCCCCACCCCCCCGCCCCCAATCTGGAGCCAGTGATTCGGTTTCCAATTCATTAGTGTAGGAGAACATTGTAATTTCCTGTGAAGCATTTACTATGCCCCATTAATCATCTGGGAGTTTCTGGGACAGAAGATTCTTTGTAAAGCTGGGAGAGCAATGGAAAGTCACTGCCTCTCTCTGGCCAAATGTGAACGAGGAAGCATGTAGCCCAGATTACTATTGGCCTAACAGGAACTAGTCACGGTTGAAGCCACCTCTTCAGACAGTGAGCAGATAGAAAGAAATCATGTTTTCCTGTGTGGAGGCCTCTGAATTAACCAAACATGAAGACTACCTTCCCTTCGGATTGCCAGTTCATGTGCACCAAACACTTCTTTCATTTTAAATCAGTTTGGTTGTGTTTGATGCTATTACAGCCAACTTGACCGTGGCTGGTTGTGCTGGCCATGTTCACTTTGCTCCCTTGCAGCCCTTCTCTGTCCTACTGTGCCCTCCTGGGGATTTACTCTACAGACTGCATTACAAGGGCTCCCTTGCATTCCTGGTTCTTGTTGGGTTTAGCCAGTGGGAGGCACCTGCTGAAGACCTGAAGGGAGGAAGAGAGAAAGTTTGGGGTATTTTCTCCATTTCTTGCCTCCCTCTTTGTTCAGGCTCCAGCAGTAGTTATTTCCTTCCACAGCAACAGCTCATGTCTGGTGAGCCCTTTAGCAGCCCACCTCTCAATGTCAAGGGAACACAACCCCAGCCCTTGTGGGCATGGGAGGGATGGAGCCTCCTGCCATGGTTGGGCTCCAGGAGCCTCTATGTTCTTGTGGGTTTCCCCAACCCCACCCCTACTATCCCTATGCCCATCCCAGTCCCTTCATCGAAATCTGTTTGTTGGATTACCCCAGAGGATCTGTGATTCCTGCTGGGACACTAAATGATACAACATTTAATGACTGCAGGACGGTGTTTGGCATATGGTAACTGCTTGATAAATGAAACTACTAATCTAACATTACTATTGTTATTTCCTTTCAATGTGAGATGACTAAACTAAAATACCTGCTCTTCATGCCCCAAAATGAGGAAGAAAAATAGAAAATAACTATACAACCATGCAAATTTAGAAAACCGATTGATCTTGTACATTAGAGAAAGTATACAGAAGTCTTCTCTTCCACATGCATGCAATTCTGTGATAACATGCCAAAGAAATACATAGGAAAATTTTTATTTGAATGCAGAGTGTATGAAAAAAATCTATTTATTTTTAGATGTTTTTAATCATAAGCTCCAATCAATGATTTACTAAATGTAATTGAACCCCATTTCCCCAGAAATGGCACCTGAATAGTTTCCCATCTACCAACTTTATCATACTCACCATTAAGCAATACTAGTCTCTTGAATATCTTCATTTACAGGATTTATATCTTTACCAAGATTTGTTATATCTTCTTTCTTTTTCCTTCGAAGAGGACTTGGAAAATGGTGTTAGAAATTAGCATGGGCCTGTTAGTTCATGTGAAGACAAAATTAATCATCAAGAGAGCAGCCTATGACTTTATTTCTAGACTGTTCAGAGTGCATAGGTTCCTTTTTTCTTAAATATTTGAGATTTCCCATTAAACCATCTCTTTCCCTAGGCTGTTGATAGCTACAGTGAGCAATAGTGGAATAGAGCACAGCTATATAAATAGAAAGACTATGGTACCAGAGTGTTGATGGAGCTTGGTTAGTACACGAACATTTTTCAGAAAAAGTCATTTTACAAAAACTGATAGGGCATTATTTAATGTGTAAACATGATATAGTCACATTGGAAATAGACATAAGAAAACCAAGAGCACTTCTGGATATATTAGTTAAACTGCCAGACTCATTAAGAAAGTTGGACTGTAGTCCCGTTTTCTCAAATCAAATTCAACATCTCCATGTTCACTGCAGCATTATTTATAATAGCCAAGATTTGGAAGCAGCTCAAGTGCTCATCAGATGAGAGAATAAAACAACTATGGGACATTCACACAATGGAATTTTACTCAGCTGTAAAAAAGAAGAAAATTTTACCCTTTGCAACAGCATGGATGGACCTGGAGAACATTATGCTCAGTGAAATAAGCCAGTCAGAGAAAGGCAAATATGATTTCACTCATATGTGCAATCTAATGAACAAACTGAACCAACTTGGAAAACAGACACAGACTCATAGATGGAGCGCAGGCTGACGGCTCCAGGCAGGAAGTGAGGAGGTAGAGGAATCGAGCAAAAAAAAAAGGAACTCATGGACATGAACAACAGTGTGGTGATTGCGGAGGAGAGGGGGTGGGCCAAGGTGGAAGAGGGAATAAATACTAGTGGGAAAAATACAATAAAAATGAACTATTAAAAAATTTAAATTAATGTAATAAAATTTTTACATTAATGTAATGCATTTTTATACATTAAAAATAGGAAAAATAGGAAAAAATACAATAAAATGAGCTATTAAAATTTTAAAAATTAATGTAATAAAGTTTCCTGCTTCTGTCCAACAGCTGCCCTGCTCTAAACCTGGCATTATCGAAACTCCCTTTTGCCATTAAGAAGGTAAAATAAAAAAATAACTTTCAATTTTATCCTGCACATGATCTGGTTTAATCTTCTCCTTTTACAGAAATAAAACTAAAAGTTTAAGATGTTAAGAAATTTCTCCAAGGTCTCAAAGATACTCAATGGCGGGAACAGGAATCAATGCCTCCCAGGACCTCTGCTTGAATTTCCCCTTCCTGAAGGTTGGGAAGAAAGGAGCCATGAGAGGCCTTTTTGTCTGTGCCGTGGACCAGAAGAAACTGTAGCTGTTCCGAGGCACTAGCTTCTCTAGACAGGAGAATAGCTCCTGAAGACTTTTTAGCTTAGTACCAGGGAGTCTGACAAACAATTCGATGGGTTTCCAAAAGTACCTTAAGTTCTGTACCAAGCCGCTCTCTCTCAAACAAAAGCAAAATGTTTCTTGAGTCCCAAAATTGTGGTATATAGTGAAAAGTAACTGGGAATAACAAGGGTATAATTATAATTTGTAAATTCAATTCATTATTTTGATGTGGCCCAGAAAAAAAATTGTGTTTGTGTGTTCCCACCTTGCAAAGTCAGTTTATCATGGTACAGCTTGAGAAAACAGTCTTATTTAGCCTACTAACAAACTCCCATAAAATATGATTAACTTTAGGACTAAATGATTGTTTTTCTTAAATTAGGAGATTTATACAAATTTCATTTTTAATTAAAATAATTGTGCTCAGTAAAATGACAAATATCATATATCATGTGTTTTATCATAGATAAATCCTTTAATATAAATAATGGCAAACCTGGGAAAGTGAGTTAATATTTAAATACAAAAAAGAAAAAAGAAACGTTAGGAATAAGAGAGGAAAGGAAAGGAAGAGTCAGCAAGATACTGTTGTTCAGGTTTACTTAAAATTAAATGGCAAACACTCACTGACAGCATGTGCAGACGCCGACCACCAGGACGATCATGGTCACCATAGCTGCTGTCAGAGAAATCACCAAAATGTGTCCTGTGTCTCCTCGCAGGTAAAAAAAGTCAACTCTCTCACATCTCTCCCCAGTGTAGCCCTCATCACAGCTATAAAAATAAAAGAAGAACATGACACAGTGAAAAATACGACTTTTAGGAATCTCTACTTCTGTTTAGAATAAACTGTTTTCATCACTTGTAATTTATAAAGAATACAATTGCTTTAAAAATGTTAAATACCTGTATGTTATTGTGTTCATGAGTAATTCCTCTTTCTTTGGTGGAAATGTCATCGCTTAACACTATTAACAATATGTCTACTATAAATAAATAGGGATGTTGACAATTTTCTATATTAGTTTGAAATTTTAGATTCTGAGTGTTCAAAATCCCCAGAATTTCCCATGTCATCATAGAGCATATAAACAGTTTCAGTGCACCCAAGTTCTCTTAATATAATTTATTTAAAAATTATACTGTTTTATATGATCAAACGTGGTAATGTGCATGCAAGTCCATAGATATCTGCCTACATATAAAAGTTCCGTAAGTATCATTCAACACAATCCCTCTCTCTCCCTCTGTGACTTGCCTCCGTCAGTTCTAGTCCCACTGCTTACAGGTGTCACAAGCAGGTCATACTCTTCTGTTACTCTTGTAGTCACCACCTCCCCAACTACATCCCCCAGAACACTGGTTTCTAGTTCCTTTATCTGATCCTCTAAGGTCGCATTTTTGGATCTGGACACCATTCCCTCTACTCTTCTAAATGGTCTCCCTGTGTCCATGACCCAATAGACTGCAGTGACTAGAAGTCAACAAGTGTCCCCAAGAAGCTTTCACTTTCCTCCTTTTCTCAAGTCTCTGCCAATACAGTCTCAGAATTCACGTCAACGCAACTGATGCCCCAGGTCTGAGGTGACAGTTAAGGGTCTTTTTGACCAGCTAAGTCTTGTGTGAGCAATACTCAAGAAGCTCAAGGCTCAGCGACATGAGGACTATCCACACTATTCTCTGAAGAAGTGTGTCATGTGCTTACAAGGAATGTAAGAAGTTTGAGGACATTTGAAGCTGAAATTATATATTATAACATCAGTTAAAAGTATTGTTCTTTTTTTTCAGACTCATTAAAAACACAAAGATATTGGTCATATTATATACTGTATTTTGCTGTGCATTAACGTGCTTTTGTGTAATATGTGCCCATGGTTTTGGCCCAGGCTTTAGGAAAAAAACTTTCCTTTTTAATTTTAAATTCAATTATTTATTCATTTATATTTAGAAACAAGACTGGTTATCATGTTCCAGGGTATTCTTTTGCATACAGATATCATTATTGCTTTCTAGAGTTAAATAATTGACTTTTAATGCTTAAGCGTAAATAAAAGAATTTAAAACACTGATAGATATGGAATTAGCACTACCCATGTATAATGTGCGTCCTTATTTTTCCCTCATTTGGGCAAAAAAGTGCACATTATATAAGGCAAAATACGGTAAATCTGAAAAGGAGGAAATTAAGTTTCTATTTTTAAAAGTTATTTTTAACTTTTATTACATTAATACAAGTTTTACATTCAGATATCCCCGACTTCTTTAAAAAATAACTTCTGTGCAATCTTTGCTTTGTTGTTTTGTTTTACTTTTTGTTTTGTGAGAAAAGATCGACTGCCAGGCTGTTCCGCCCTGTATGTTTGACAAGGGCCAGAACAGTTAGTTCCCGCAAAGCCTGGATTCACAAATAAGGAGATCTCTTAATGCCAATATTGTAGCTGATACAATGCTACGAAAATAAACAAAATGAAACAAAAAACAAGCTCAGTCACAACCATGCTTGAAAGGTGAGGTTTGATGCAGGCGCTGCAACAAAGGCACCTAATGCCACCTACTGCCGAAGGGCCCTGGGATCTGTGATAGACAGCTGCTGCCTGCCAGGGAGCTAGGTGTCATCACTGCCAGGTTAAAATAAGGGGAAAAGACTGAGAAATATTTCAAAATATTGCACCTGGGCCTGGCACTGGGGGAAAATCACTTTTAATAGCATGTGTAGGATGAAGTTTTTTAAAGAGTCTTCTTTTTAAGTCCATAACTAAAATCTTATAAATATAGTGTTTTCCGATGAGCTTAAATGTTCCTCTAACAAGTTTACTAAATGTGGCATTTTTAAACAATAATTTTGCCCATTGAATACACAGCAATTACTTGATGCTCTTTTAGAATGTTTTTCTAAGTGTAAATTCTGGGTTCTGTGGCTTAACCACACTTTAATTGGATTTCTCAGTGAGCAGTACTTCCTGCAAGTTGTAACCCATGAGCCATGCCGGAGGGTGAAGTCTTACCAGTCAGAGGGGCTCTCATGTTACTTTATTCTCATCAGATCTGTAATAACCTATGTGCTGATGGTTATTTCAATGGGAGAGAATGAGGCAAGGGTACAAGTTCCTAGTAGATGTTTACTAAATGCTGAATAAATTAGTTATTATAGTAAAAATCAATCAAATAAAATCTAAAATAAATTTTAAAGATGCTCATTTCCCTTATGGACTCTGCAAAATCAGATTTGGGATCACTGTTCTGAAATAATCAACAGACACTTTTCCAGGAGATTTATAAGTATTAATTCAATTGATTCTTAAAACAACCTTTGAGGCAGGTCTAATTATTAATCCATTTTACAGATGCAGAAACTGAGCTATAGAGAAATTGAGCGAGTGGGGCTAGGACTCAAATGCAGGAAGTTAGCACCCAAGTTCATGCCTCAACCTACATCTATTACCGCTTAAGTAAAGTGTGCAGCATAAATAAATAAAAATCCTGTCTCTGGAATCAAATCACCCACATTCCATGAAAATACAGAATAGGCTGATAGAGGATTAAAGGTACTTGAAACACACTGTGGTATTTGTCTAAAAACAAGAATCCACAAACTCCTGTGATTCCAAGCAAAAGGAGATATTTCCGGTTTCCACAATAGCACAGTCACCACAAGCAGGACAGTTTTGCCTGAATCCATGCTACTCCAAGTCACCTAGAAAGTCAGGACTACTAGGTTCAATATCTCCCCTTCATCTCACAGTATGATTTACAGAACATTTACTCTGCGCTTAGTGCCATAATAAGCAATTTTGCATAATGTGTTTATTTTGTCTAATTTTCAATACTTCAGAGAAAGATGTTATCAGCCCATTTTATAGTAGATAAAACTGAGGCTCGGGTCCAGCCAAGATGAAGGTATATGTAGATACATTTTGCCTCCTCACACAACCAAAAGGACAACAACCAATTTAAAAACAAAAACAACCAGAACTGCCAGAAAATCAAACTGTATAGATGTCTGACAACCAAGGAGTTAAAGAAGAAACATTCATCCATACTGGTGCAACGGGAGGAGGCAGGCAGCCAGGGACAGAGAGGACTGAGGCAAGCTGGTGGCTGGCTGACTAGGTGGCCCCACATTTGTGTGAGGATAAGTCAGGAAGAATAATTGGGGACTGAGATACACCATGAATCCCAGGGTTCCAGTGCTGGGAAATAAGGCCTCAAAATCTCTGGCTCTAAAAACCTGTGGAGGTTGCAGTGGTAGGAGAAACTCTCAGTCTTGCATGAGGGTCCATTTGAAGGACCCACAGGGTCCTAGACTTTACACAAGCACACTCACCAGGGAATCAGCACTAGGAAGGTGCAATTTGTGTGTGGGTAGTGGGGGAAGTGGCTGAAAGTGGGGTGAGAGCTAGGCAAGCAGCATCTTTCTCTCTCTGACCCCTCCTCTACACACAGTGCCACAATGCAGAGAAGTAGGTTGCCTCGCCCTGGGGAATACCTAAGGCTCCACCTCTTACAACATATTAGGTGCACTGAGACAAAGAAATATAGTTCAAATGAAAGAACAGATCAAAACTCCAGAAAAACAACTGAGCAACGGGGAAATAGCCAACTTATCAGATTCAGAGTTCAAAACACTGGTAATCGAGGTGCTCACAGAAATGATTGAGTACAGAGGCAAAATAAAGGAAGAAATAAAAACTATATAAAGTGAAATAAAGGAAAATACACAGGGAACCAACAGTGAAGGGAAGAAAACTGGGACTCTCAAATCAATGATTTGGAACATAAGGAAGAAATAAACATTTGACTAGAACAAAATGAAGAAACAAGAATTTTAAAAAATGAGAAGAGGCTTAGGAACTTTTGGGACAACTTTGAACTTTGAACGTTCCAACATATGAATCATAGGGGTGCCAGAAGGAAAAGAGGAAGAACAAGAAATTCAAAACTTATTTGAAAAAATAATGAAGGAAAACATCCCCAACCTGGTGAAGGAAATAGACTTCCAGGCAGTCTGGGAAGCTCAGAGAGTCCCAAAGAAGTTGGACCCAAGGAGGAACATACCAAGACACATCGTAATTAAATTACCCAAGATTAAAGATAAGGAGAGACCTTAAAAGCAGCATGAGAAAAGGAGACAGTTACTTACAAAGGAGTACCTACTACCAACTGATTTCTCAAAAGAAACCTTGCAGGCAAGAAGGGGCTGGAAAAAAGTATTCCAAGTCATGAAATCCAAAGATCTACATCCAAGATTGCTCTATCCAGCAAAGCTTTCATTTAGAATGGAAGGGCAGATCAAGTGCTTCTCAGATAAGATCAAATTCAAGGAGTTCATCATCACCAAGCCTGTATTATATGAAATGTTAAAGGGACTTATCTAGGAAAAAAAAGATCAAAGCTGTGAACAGTAAAATGACAACAAACTCACAACTATCAACAACTGAACCTAAAATCAACAACAACAAAAAATTAAGCAAACAACTATAAGAGGAACAGAATCACAGAAATGGAGATCACATGGAGGATTATCAGGGGGGAGGGGGAAAGGGAAGAATGGGAGGAAAAGTGCAGGGATTTGAAGTGTAATGGGTAGGCATAAAATAGACAGGGGGAGGTTAAGAATAGTATTCCAAGTGGAAAAGCCAAAAGATTTATGTGTATGACCCATGGACATGAACTAAAGAAGGGATGGTGGATGGAAGGGGGATACAGTGTGGAGGGGGATAAAGGAGAAAAATGGGACATATGTAATAGCATAATCAATAAAATATACTTTTTTAAAAAGCTGAGGCTCAGGAAGGGTAACTGACTCATTGTTAGCATTGCCCACTGTTGGCGGAAACAAAAGCCTAACTTAGGTGTGACTCCAAAATCTGTGTACTGACCCCTATGCTTTTCCACTTCCCATTGATTCTGTGTTATTTCACCATTATGATGGTGTTCCTGGTTAAGGCCTTGGTTTTGACACTCAGCATAGTGTTAGGTGAACCATGGTAGAGAGAGAGTCATTTATGCACCAGTCATTTCCTGAGAACCCGTAAACTCTAGGCAGGGTGCTTGGCACTGGAGCACAGAAACACGTGAGCCATGAACCCTGTCCTCTAGACGCTCACCATCACAGAAGGGACTTTTAAAGAAACCAACATCTATGCTTCAGGAGGAAAGAGTTCGCATAGAAGCCGAACTGGATGACAGAGAAAGGACATCGTGCTCACACCTGAATGTGTGTCTGAGAAGAGGGAAGTTAACGTGGGTGTCCAGGAAAAGCTGATGTCTGAGTTGCCTGTAACACATCAGTCAGAATGCACTTTGCACACCATTAGCAGAGCTTGTGCCATATGCCATGCAGTGGAATGTAGAATTCAGAGAAACATTTGACTCTGTGATGGCGATGTGGTTAGAAAGTTAAGCCAGGAGCAGAGGAGGTTTGGAAACCAAGGAAATGAGTTTTCACCTCGGACGGAAGGGACAGGTGAGTATTGATCTTAAGGGGGTAGATCACACACTGTGGTGATCATTTCAGAGGGCAGCAACATTAGAGAACAATAAATGTGCAGATACAGAAGCCAGTCAGAGAAATGGGCTTGGGTTAGGCCATTTACATTTTTAAAACTCAATATATTCTCCCAGACCTGTGAGCAATTAAATGAAATATAAAAAAAACAAGTCAACTCTATCTTTCCCAATGCACAAAGGCAGAGTTTTCTTATTTCCTTACATTAGCAATTCTTATTTCCCTCTAAGTGTTATCCTTTATATTTATTTTTAAATTACATTTAAGTATAATTAAATTTTGAAGACTCCATGACTCAAACATTCCACTAAATTAGGGATTGGAAGTACTATTCTGAGATACTTATTTTTTAAAAAATGTGTGCTGGGAAAATGCAGAGAATATAAACATTCTATGAATTTTAGGTAAAAATTATACATAAAAATCATCTTGCTCTTCTATGAAGTAAGGTCTCAGAGCACTTGCGAGGGACATTTCTTTAGAAGAAAATTAATATTGAAATTATAAAAAAGCCTTAGTTTTGCCTGAGTAAAATTAAACTTGGACTCTTTTTTAAATGATTTTATTTATTTATTTTCAGAGAGTAGAAGGGAGGGATAAAGAAAGGGAGAGAAACATTAGTGTGTGGTTGCCTCTTGCACACTCCTCACTGGGCACCTGGCCTACAACCCAGGCATGTGCCTTGACTGGGAATGGAACCGGTGACCTCCTGGTTCACAGGCTGGCACTTGATCCACTAAGCCATACCTGCCAGGGCTAAACTTGGACTCTTAATCTACTAATATTTCAAAAGAAATATTTTCTTCCAATTTCATGCAAAACTGCACTTATAAACAAGGCTGGTGTCCTTGCACTTTATTGACACCTGCAAAAGCAATTTAATTTGGCATACATTCCTTCATATTTGTGTGAATTACAAACCACATCCCAAATGGCAGAAAAATTTGTTTCCATGCAAAACACAATTCAAAAAACAATTCACAACTTATTTGAAAAGATATTGAAGGAAAGCAACCCCAACCTGGTGAAGGAATTAGACTTCCGGGAAGTCCTGGAAGCTCAGAGAGTCCCCAAGAAGTTGGACCCAAGGAGGAACATACCAAGACACATCATAATTAAATTACCCAAGATTAAAGCTATTTATCATGAGGGATAAACAGCTTTTAGATGCATCCTTAAGTGTGGCCAGTGTGATAACCACTATACCACAGAAACAAGATGGACTTATATGATGTGGAAAGAAAGCACCTGTGTAAGGGTTGTATGCATGGACTGAGAGGCACCAGCAACTGGAGAGAATCACGTGGGAGGAGGCCACCAGAACAGAGTTAAATGCAGGGTTGTATGCATGGAGGCCTGCACTCAGATCCCTGAATGTGAAGTCCAGAGTGCTAGCCATTTCACCGTGGGGCCACAGAAACAACCCGGGTGCCCACCGATAGACGAGTGGATAAAATCGCTGGGGTACATTTACACAATAGAGTCTTAGTTACTGGGTCACAAAAGAAGAATGCAATCTTATTATTTTCAACAGCATGGATGGACCTAGAGGGTGTTATGCTAAATGAAATAAGTCAGTCAGAGAAAGACAAGTACCATATGGTTTTGCTTGTGTGTAGAATCTAAAGAACAATATAAATGAACCAACAGAACAGAAATAGACTCATAGAGACAGACAAAAGACTGATGGTTGCCAGAAGGGAAGAATTGAGGGACTGGGGGAAATAGATGAGGGATTAAGAATTACAAATCGGTAGTTACAAAATAGTCATGGGAATGTAAAGTACAGCATCAGAAATGTAGTCAATACTATTGTAGTAACCATGGATGGTGCAAGATGGTGACTTGATAGTGGAGGACCACTTTGTAAAGTATATGATTGTCTAACCACTATGCTGTACACCAAAAACTAATAAAAAAATAATACTAAATGTAAATGTAACTGAATAAAAAAATAATAAAACTCTATACAGAAAGAAAAAAATAAAAGCATTCTTAACACTGGACAGAAACAGTCAAGCGTGGCTAAGGCAGCATTTGAGGGCCCAGCTCTGCCTGCAAGTAAATCTGGACACTTTGATGTGCGTCAGTTTCTTCATAACCAGCTGGCTAAGGTGCCCTGAAACAAGTCACAAGTCGCCGGGGCAGGACCAGGGGAACAGTGTCCTGACAGGTGACTTGATTGGCACCCACTTTCCAGTCCTGCGGAGCCCAGGCCAGCACCATGCTGCTCCCCTTTGCCCACAGGCTCAGGGCCTCCACTTACAGGCAGGAGGGTCTTTGCAGGGCCCCCACGAAGCGGCATCTCCCATGGAGGCAGTAATGATCGTATTTCTCGGGACATGGAGAGAAGTGGTCATTCCACTTTGATTGTGTGGTGGTAGCTGAAAAGGAATAAAAAGCTCAATAAATCAACCCATTTTAAACGCACATTTGTAAGTAGTATTACATTCTTATCTTTATTGCCTGGCTTTTTGTAGAATGTACTACAGTCTCTCATTTCTCCTTCTCTCTGCACTAAGATAAAAATCACACTTTTGTGGCCCCAAAATAGCTCTAGGGATTGGGTAGTAGAGATTATCATGGGAACATCTCATGTTTTAATTAGATTTATGTACCACCTACAGCTCAGAAATGTTGGTGTTGTTTAAAAGGTAGAGCATAGTTGTGATGAGGGAGAAGGTTTTTCTTTCCGTGAAGATAATTAGAGCCACAGAGCTGATGGCATTGAAGAGAAAAGTACAGTTTTCCCTTTCCTTTCATTCTCTTTTAAAAATTGTTTTAACTTAAGCACTTACATAGCACTTACTGAGTGCCAGGTGCTGCTCTGTAAACGTTATACATATTAACTCATTTAATGCTCAGAACAGCCTTATGACACATCACTGCCATTCTAACATCTTATTTACAGAAGAGCAAAGCAGAACCCATCGAGGCTAAGGAACCTTCCAGAACCACACAGCTAGTGTGGGGCAGGCACGGGAATTGCACCTGGGCCCTTCTGCCCCAGAGTCCATGCTCTTGGCCCCTCCACACTGGCACTCTGTCACCCAGCTGGCCAGCACATAGTTGTCACCTTCCCTCAGCCTGAGTCTGAGGCACGCTTCCTGAATGGCAGACTTTCCCTCGCATTTGGCCCTTGGAAGGTCTCTCATTCCCTGAGAGAGAAAAATTCTGAAAGCTTTATATCTAGGATTTCAATCCTGCAGTGCTCTGACTCTCTTTCTAACCTTTCAGGGTAGCGGCCACCTCATTTTTAGCTGGGGACAATAACATGTAACAATTTCCTTGACATAGAAACTGTTAATAAATAAGGATTGTCCAGAGGAACAGTGCAGAAACTCTAAGCAGCTGTTCCCTGCATTGGTTCCCAACAGACAAGGGGAGCAGCCCACGCCCAGGGGAAACAGCTAAGCAGCAGCACCAGGCCGAGGCGGACTTGCCCCATTCATGTCACCACCAGCAGCTCTCAGGACACACACACCTGTGCAGCCAGAAAGACCACAGTGTGCAGTCTTTCAAGAGGGCATTCCACACTAGGTGTGGTGTGGCACCTGGCACCCCATGACATCAAGCAATCCTTTGATTGATGGCAATACCACTAAACGCCTTCCCTCATGTTATGTAATGAGTACACATAATTGCTCGGGGCCACCAGAGGAGGAATCGCAAAGAGCTCGGCACGATCTGCACACAGCACGTGCCCGTGATGCCAGCTCGCAGCCTTCGGGGTGGCAGAATGTTGCTGAGCAACTGGCTGACCCGGTTTTGCTTGGTGACTTAATCACCAGCCGTGCTCACTGCTGGTCCGTGCCAGATATTTCTGCATGCATGCCAGTCAATGGGACTCCTGTTGAAAATGCTGCCAGAAATAACCACAAATTACCTCAAAGGCAAGATCAGTGTGTTTTGGCAAATAAATTGATGAGTCGACTTTCATTCGTCAAGACTTTCTATCTCCAGAGCCCTGTGGTGGGCATTGGAAAACATCAAAGAAATAAAAGATATCTGATCTCTCTAAATCAGCAAAATAGAATAAATTCAAGAAAATAATGACCAAGTAACCAGTAAAAACAACCATAGTAATTGCATGAACACTTGTGGTCCCCTGGAAACAGTGGAAAGAACACTGGATTAGGAGGAAAGACGTGAGTGTTTCATCTTCAGCCCTTTCATTAGCCAAATGGGTCTGGCAATGTGAATGAAGCTGCCTGAGCCTCTGGTTCCTCATCTGGAAACTGAAGATGCTAACATGGACCTAAAAGGGCTGTTACTGAGGATGCTAACGTGGATCTGAAAGGGCTGTTACTGAAGGTGCTAACATGGACCTAAAAGGGCTATTACTGAAGGTGCTAACATGGACCTAAAAGGGCTGTTGGAAGGCTCATAAAAGGGAAAAAAATGCATGTGGAAATTCCCAGTGCTGTGCCTGGACAATAAAGTTCTCCATAAATGAGTTAAGTTGATTCTAGAATCTTGAAAATCTTGGCAATTCTAAGAAAGTTCTTATATTAGTAGAAATGTGCTTATTTAGTTAGAAAACTTTCTGGAAAATAAAGTTATTTTATTTATTTATTTATTTATTTATTTATTTATTTATTTATTTATTTTTTGTGGAGGTGGGCAAGCAGTTAAGGGATGGGGAATCTCAGCTCAGTCTCAGGAAGATGCAAGGGGCAGATTTAATGGCAACGGTGGAAGAGACATGAAGGGGAGCAGCCAAGGAGGTTCTGAACGGGAGTTAGAGACCTCAATTTGTCAGTGGGCTGAAGAGTTTACACTGAAATTTAAGGCAGGAGACTGCTGAAGAAGGTTTTTATGGATTAAATTTAATGGTACATGGAAAAGCTGAACTGGGCAGCATTTTATGAATGTATTATCTAGGACAGAGCAGACTGGATCAGAGAAGGAAGATGCCGGGTCAAGGAGAAAACCAAGCCCTCCCCTCCCTCCTGCTGAGCCATGCAGACACAGGTGATGTGTGCCTGGTGGTGGGGGGCAAGGAGAAGTGTTGAAGAAGAAGCAGGACTTGATGAGAGATCCACTGTGCGCCTGAAAGGTTCTTTCTACTTTGCAAAACACATCCAGCTTTAAGTAGAAGCTGTGTGTCTCTGCATCCTGACCTTGACCAATACCTTTGGTTGCCATGTTCTCTTAAATATAGTCAGTGTTCTCATAAATGCCAAATGGACCATGATCCCCCAAACCACCTAAAAGCAGCTGCTGGCTGCAGTGATTGTTCAGTCTCGGTTGGTCCAGCAGCACACACCTGTGCCAGGAAAATGGCTGCCAGGGGCTGTTTGGATAATTCGCAGACCTCTTTGTCAAATAAGCATGATCTTAGGTAGTGGCAGCAGTATTTTGATTTTAAAACACTTGTATACCACCAAGCAGAAAAAATCCAGTGATTTTTCTATGGAACTTTAAAACCTGAAAGAAAAATAAGTCAAATATACCGCCCCCACAAAAGCCGGAGAGATCCTCTCTCCTGGAAATTAAAGGCCTGTCAGTATTGCCTTTAATACTGACAGGTGCGAAATGCATCTAAAATTCCAGTTGCTTTCATCTAAAGTTCATGAAGGTCACATTGTTTGGAAGTTGAACAGTTGTGAAATCTAACGTCTTCTGCCTTTCATGAGATTTGATGACGCCAGGGGGGGCTGGGAAGACGGCAACATTGTACTATTCTGTTCCAGGAAGGTGTCCCAAGAAGAAGGAAAACTCAATCCTGTGATAAAATAAGATTAGGTCCATGTATTGGGATATCTGTTGAGAATTGCATGGTGAAGTTTTGAAAATGTCAAAGGCCTAAACTAAAAGACTCCCCTGATTCTGGGGGTGGTGGAATTAACTGCTATTTTGTCCTCCCGCCTTCCTCTTTTCCAGCCCACGTGACCCAAACCGAAACATTCCTTTGGGAGTGAGCCTCTCCCACAAAACTGTGCTGGAAAACTACATCCGCTGGCAGGCCAGGCCGCCACAGCCTCAGAAGTGGATGGGCACCACGGGTAATGTGTCTCAACCTCCTCCTGATGCACTGTATTCCAAAGATTCTAAAGACAATTAAGTGAGAAACCACAGGGGTGGCTACAGGTCCATGTATGTCGAAATCTGATTCTAAGAGTGAGCAAGAGGGATCAGAAGTGAGAACAGCTCTGGTTGATCATAGGGGCAGATGGACAAGAAGTGGATCTTCTTTAGGTGATGTGGACGGTTAGGTGAGAGGGGATGGATCCTCCCCTTGAGCCAGTCAGTTGGGGGACTGCAGCAGACACCACATCACCTCGTCTGAGTGTGGATTTCCCTCAGCCTGATAGATGCTGTGATTAAGCAGCATTGCTCCCTGGTCTCACTGTACGTGATTCTTATTCTCAAGACAAACCAGGCTTTGTGATGTCTTGGTGGTGAGAACTCTTTAGATTTGAAACATTGGGTCTATTTTTCATAAAACCCTAACTTAATTATTCCAAAAGTGCTTAGTACAAATGTATGTAATAATTTTGTTATGATGCTAATATCAGTAGCTCTTCTGAAAGTAAGTCTAAAGGTACTGTACAATTATTATTACAATGCTTTTTTGGGGGTAAATTTCAGTACACTGTATAAACCTCATGGTACATTTGACCTCTAGTTAAATCTCTATGTGAGAGACTCAAAAGTGTGGGTTTAGTGTTGAGATAGATGCCCCACGAGTGTTAACAAGGAGAGAGAGGAAGGGAAGCAAACACCCCTAAGTTCCTCTTCCCCTGCAGACACCTCCCTGGCAAAGGATGCCCCTGGTGCACAGGGGGGTCGAAGTGGCCCCAGCAGACTTTGGAGAGAAGTTTCTCCCGTGTCTGCACAGCAGAGCCCAAGGCTTCAGTCTTCTGCCCTTGGCTTCCAGACATCTCCCCAACAGGGTTTCCTCATTTTACAGCCCTTTTAAGCCAAGAGGTGAAGAACAAAGTTGGGAATTTCTAAAGTTACTTTTCCTTCTATTCTTGCAATCTATCTCCCTGAGACAAGAGAATGTAAATTCATGGTGCCCTTGAAGAAGTGCAGATTTGACATTTATTGTAACTGAGGGCTCCCATTCATCTCACATCCGATGACATTTCCTATAGAAATGTGAAAGGGTTGGTTACTCCAGGATAAGAAAAATAGATCTCACTGAGGTCCTTGTTGCCCCTCCTGGCTTCCAGAATGTGCTCCTACAGGGGACTAATCAGACCCCATCTGCTTGTCTTTTAACCTGAGGGCTGTGCCAACCATTTCTGAACTGATTAGCGTGGCTGTCACTTAGAGCTGCCCTCTTTCATTCTGTATTTTTCAAGGAAAAGGGAATCCAGTGTTGAAATGTGAGTGTATTTGCATATATTTAAAATTATTCATAGTTGTGAGGCAAATGAAAATAAGAGTGGGCCGGAGGAAAACCTGTATTTCTTTCTGTTTTTGGAGAGTGCACACTGTGGAATTGTTCTGCCTGTGATGCCCTCTTTGCTTGTTCTCCTCTGCTGGTTCTTTCTCAGCTTCCCCAACCTCTAAATCTTGCAGTGCACTGGGGCTCAATGCTGTGTTATCTTTTCTCCTCCCTCTACTCCCTCCCTCAGAATTTCTTGGCTTGAAACACCTTTAGGGTAATAATTCCCAAATTCAGGATTTCATTACAGATCACTTTTCTTAGTGCCAACTGTCAAACCAATAAATCCACTCGATGTCTAACTGGCATTTCAACTTAACACATCCAAAATGGAACACCTCATTTCCCTCCTCAAATCATGTGTTTGTTCATCTCAGTAGGTATTTACATTTTCTTTATAATTCAGGACAAAAATGTTGGAATTATCTTGACTTTGTTCTCTTTTACTGTACATCCAGTTCATCAGAAAATTCTTCTAGTTGTATTCAAAGTATGTAGAATTGTCCCTCCATTTTCACTACCCTGGTGTAAGCCCAACAGCCCCTCTAGGCTTGGGGTAGTGTCCATGAAAATAACCTCTAAGTAGTCTCCCTGCTTTTGCCCCTTTAACCGTCTAGTCTAAATACACAGAAACCAGGTGGATGCCGTTAAAACTTACTGAGAGTCAAAGCTGAAGGCTCTAACCTCCTCACCAAGGCTCTGGGTTATACTACGCATTATTTCTCTTTCCCATATCCTCTCCAGTGTCATATTTGACCATTGTGTTCATTGCTGCATTCTTGGTCCCTGTAACAGAGCCTGCTGCAGAACAGGTGCTTGTAAGTATTGGTGGAATGTATATATTTCTCACTCAAAATAGAAAGTGACAAACCAAAAATGGAATGCTTAAACTCTGGGGCTATTTGAAGATAAAATTATAAAATTATTTAAAAACAGGAAAAATTCCTAAAGATTATCTGACTCATGTCTTCATTTTATAGGTTAAAAACTGAGTCTTTGAAAGCTTAAGTTACTTATCCAAGGTCACATTGTCAGACAATAGAGAAAATCTGATCTCGTTCCATATTAATTTCTTTCTCAAGAAGCTTTGGTCCTTATCTGGACTTTACTTTCAAGCAATTGTTTTTGAAAATTTCCCACATCATTCTGGCACTTAGCATGGTGACTAAGAACACACATTTCCAAAGCCAGTCTCTCCGAATTCATGTTTCCTGAGGGGGATTAAAGGTTTGTTTCCTCCCAAATACTCCTTTTGGGATATTGATTTTAAGCTGGTAATTACGGGAAAAAAGACTCAAAGCAAACTTTTGACCCTCCCCCTTTATTGCCTAAAAGGAATTTCAATAGAGGACATGCTCCAAGAAGAGAGATATAAATTATTACAGATAATCAGAGTTTTACGTGAACTAGTGTATGATAGAGGGAGGAACCTGACAAGGCCTGTTTGATCAAAGTTCTCTGTGTGTCTCACTGGGAAAGGTGGCCCAGCAAGCATTTGTTTACCAAATATTTGCCTTTCTACACCCATGTGAATTTCCTTCCTGCCCTTTGAAATCCCAAACCTGAACATTTTCCTTCTCCTTAGCTCCAGAACTGCCCAATTGCGGGATATGTCGCTGAGTCTTGCATTCTTACGGCACTCATGCATGTACATAAGTAGGAAGTCTGGCTATTTTCTCATGTTAATCTTTCTCATGTAAATTTGATTATTAGCCCAGACAGAAGAATTTAGAAAGGTGGGAGGGAAATTAATTTTTTGACCCCTACACAGTCTACTCTGCTTCCTGTGTGCCTTTCAGCTAAAAATCTGCACAGTAAAGAAAGAACTGACAAACTAGAAAAGGCAACTTATAGCTGCTGTGGAAAATAGTATGCAGTTTCTTCAGAAAATTAAGAACACATCAAACATATGATTCAGCAATCCCAGTTGTGGATATTAATCTGAAAGAATTAAAATCAGTATCTCAAAGTGATATCTACACTCCAGTATTTATTGCAGAATTATTTACAAAGGCCAAGATACAAAAACAACTTAAATACCCATCAATGGATGAATAGGTAAAGAAAATACCTTATATCAGTACAATGGGATATTATTCAGTACTTTAAAAAGAAGGCAATCCTTCAATACGCAACAACATGAGCAGACCCGGAGAATAGTACACTTAGTGAAATAAGCCTGTCAGAGAAGGACAAATATTACATGATTTTACTTATTTAGTCTCTAAATAACCAAATCTGTGGAAGCAGAGTAGAACCATGGTTGCCAGGGGACTGAGGGAAGGGAAAATGTGAAATTTTTGTTCAGTGGGTATAAAATTTTAGTTACACAAGATAAATAGTCTAGTTAATAATAGTGTATTGTACATTTAACAATTCGTTAAGGGGTAGGTCTCCTGTTAAGTGTTTTTATAGCAATGAAAAATTAGAAATCAAGCCCTGGCTGGCATAGCTCAGTGAATTGAGCACTGGCTGCAAACCACGGGGTCACCAATTTGATTCCCAGTCAGGGCATGTGCCTGGATTGTGGGCCAGGTGCCCGGGGGGGGGGCACGTGAGAGGCAACCACACATGGATGTTTCTCTCCCTCTCTTTCTTCCTCCCTTCCCATATCTCTAAAAATAAGTAACATCTTTCAAAAAATTAGAAAACACATTTAGGATATGATGTGGCAGATTGTTTACTACTTTCAGTGTTCAAATTATGGAATCGTCTCCCAAAGGAAATGTAAGAATGCCATCCTTTAAACCATTTGAAACCTGACTGCAGGAAAGCACAGAAATACATGAAGTTGGCCTTGTTCTTCTCCCTACATGGATGACAAGACCACACAAGCATGACCTAAGACACGGGTGGATTCCACAGCACATAGATACTCTCCAGACCGCCCACTAATAAGAGGGAAGGGGACGATCAGGCTGGAATTGATGACTCACATCAGGACGACTTGCTCAGAATGTTCCTGGCCCAGTTACAACTTTGCCAGGGTGTTAGGGAAGGCACAGCTGCCACCAAGTCACCACACTCCCAGCCTGGCAAAGTTTCCAGGGAATATAGGAGGGTCTTCTCCACTCCACCCTGTATTTGGAATTGGCCTGTGTTTTCTCTTAAATCAGAAACAACTCGTGTAGAAGACCAGACCTGACAATCTATAAAGGATAGACAGAATCTTAGACCAGAGGTCAGCAAACTATGGCCCAATGGCCAAATCTCGCCCACAGCCTGTTTCGCTAAAGAAAGCTTTATTGAAACACATCCAAGGCCACTTGTTTGCCTAGTGTCTATGGCTGCTCTGACAGTGAAACAGCAGAATTGATTAGCTGCAGCAAAACTCACGGTCCACAAAGCCTAAGATAATTATTATCTGGCTTTTTACAGGCTAAACCCTTCTTTAGACTAATAATTTTGAGAATAGTAATTCAAGCATCTTCAAGGCAAAATATGTAAAAATTATTGCCTTCTTCCCTTTTTTGAAGTTATGGAAGAGGGAAAAATTAATTTTAATAGAACACGGCCACTTTGTACTAATCTAGCCTGCACTAGCACATGCTTGAGCCTGGAGCATGCGTGTGACACTAACGTAGTGTCATGGTTAGGGATGAGAGCACTAGAATCAGAAAGAGCCGAGTGTGAATCCTGGATTTGTTCTTTCCCAGCTGTGTCATCTTTGGCATGTTACTTAATCTTTCTAGGCTGCACCTTGAAATAAAGTAAAAAATAATTGTCCAGCTCATTGAGAGGAAACAAATGAATTACCGCATGTAAAACACTTAGCACAGTAGCTGCTACATTTGTATGTGCTCCCAAAAACTACTTAGTTTTATGATTACTATATCATAAAAAAATTAAACTTAGGGAAACAGCTTTCCAAGACCGAAGAGAAAGCTGATGAAACAGAAACATGTCACGTGTTCAGCGTTACCTGCACAGTTTTCTCCAGCACCTCCACAGAGAAGGCCATCGTTTTCAGGACTTCTGGATGAATTCCCATCTGCCAGAACACCGTGGAGGATCACTAGACCTTCAAGTTCAAAACAGAACCAAAACGAACATGAAAACTTGAAAATCTCCTCAATGTGAAATACTGTATTGAAGTTCTGACCCATTTATAGAAATCTCAAGGCTATGTCTTCCATTTCCAGTTCATCCCCCCACAGTGAGGGAGGTGTGCACAGGCCAGCCTGTCTCGTTCTTTAAGTTCAGTGCTGAAGTCCGAATTTTCAAGCCATCATAACTATGCACCTTAAGTGAGGAAACTTGACCATAACTTGTGAGGGAAGCTTATCATATAAACAGAAAGTGGAGTTCTCAGCGTCTGGATGGATACATTAAAATTTCCAGGGAAAATGGGTGATGAACCCATAGAGCAACACACTTTCTCCATTCCACACAGACCCAATATTTCTCCAATATTAACTATTTAGTGTCCTTCCTCCTGTAAAGTGACCTATGTATTCAATTCATAGGAATTATTTTAAAACTTCAAGTTCCTCTGTGACTTATCTCTGTCTCTGAGAAAGACAGGCCTCACAGAAAGGTATGGGGGACAAAGAAACCCTGTACATGATTGAATCAGCTTAAAACACAATGTGTATTTTTTATATGGACCTGATCCAAACAAACTGTAAACAATCACTTATTAGTTAATCAGTGAAATTTGACATTGACTGAATATTAGATATATTAAGAAATTGTTATAGTTTAAAGTGTGACAATGATATTGTAGTTTAGGTTAAAAAAGAGTCCATATCTCTTAGACACTTATATTTAAATATTTATTAATAAAATTAGTGTGTCTGAGATTTGCTTTAAAATAATTCCCAAAGGAAAGGGGGTACAAGGCAATGAGGCAACATTATACTTAACACAAGATTGGCCACAAGTTGATAACTGTTGAAGCTGGGTGGTGGGTATATCAAGATTCACTATGCCGTTCTCTCTACTTTTATATATATGGGTAAATGTCTGTAAGAAGAAGTTGTGGGTCAACTTCTGGTCAAGATGACGTGTAGGTAAATGCAGTACTTGCATTGGCCCACGACCGCATCAAAAATACAACTGAACTAGAGGATAATCATCATTCAATAAGTACCATGTAAAATCTAGCTGAACAGATGTCCTGCAGCTAAGGATATAAAGAAGCCACATTGAGACTGGAAGGAGGGGCAGAGACACAAAACAAGCTGGTCTCACATGCATGTGTGGTGTATACAAATCGGGAGTGATATCTCAGCTATGGAGGTCTCCCTAGAGGAGTGAGGGGTCCCAACCCTACACCATATACCCCAGCCTGAGGTTCCAGTACTGGGAAGAGTAGTCTTTATAACTCTTGGCTGTAAAAACCAGTGGAGATTGAGTCTGATCCAATGCACGGTCTTACTCAGACTCACTGACTCAGAGTTCCAGTGTTGGGGCAGCAACTTAAAAGGTACCAGGGACATAGGGGGAGGAACTGACGTATTTAGCATCAGGCCAAAAATTAGAGGGATAGTTTTATCCCAGACAGGAGTGCTGCCAGAAGCCATTGCTCCTTTTGTGAGCCATTTCCTCACAGAGAGCTGTTAGGTGTTGTATCTGAGTCTCCCTTGACCTGACTATCACGGTTTTCCCTGTCCTAGTGATTCCCTGAGACCCAACCCCAACAAGCTATTTCCAGTTGCTTTTCCATACAAATGGCCTATCCTGGCTCATGCTTCAGACTTCTCTAAAACCTCTCAAACAAGCAGCATCTGGCCTCAGTATGCCCTGTACCACTTGAAAAGTGGCCCAAGGTCTGGCACTGTAGCAGCTAGATTTGGCATCTCCTGGGCAGCAGTTTGGCATCTCCTGGGCAGCTCCAAGCCCAGCAAAAATAGTAGCCATCTGCAGATCACTTGTAGCTCATGCTGGGTGAACTCAGGCAGAGCATAGGCAGTGGCTGACCTTGGCCTGTACCTCTTGGGAGACCTCAGAGCTAGCATGCTCAGTAGACAGGTTCAGACCAAGTTGGAACACCACTCAACCACCTCCACAAGCAACACACTCAAGGGGCAGACTCAGTGGGCACCAGAGTCCCACTGAAGTAAGTCCTGCTGCCTGGGATAAGCCCCTGTATAGCTGATCCTCCATGATGGTCACAGCCAGTCTTTGCAGCTGATTGGCCTGGGGGTAAATCTCTCCCATTGATGTACCAACATTAATTAAGGCCCAACTACAATAGGAGTGTGTATACAGCCCACATGGTGGGGGAGGTGGGCACACCTGGAGTGCTCAGCTTGAGTGAACAGGGAGGCTGTGCCACTGGACCCCACCTATTACATGAGGTACTCTACTAAGCCTGGGAGATGTAGCAGCTCTTTATAATACATAGAAACAGACCCACAGAGGCTGCCAAAATGAGGACACAAGAAAACATGGCTCAAAATTAAAACATAGAACAAAGCTCCAGAAAAAGAACAAGACAAAGTAGAGACAAGCAATCTACTAGATTCAGAGTTTGAAACACTGGTTATAAGGATGTCAATGAATTTAGGAGAAAAGTAGATGGACTCAAAGAGGCTCACACTAAGACATACCATAATTAAAACGCCAAAGGTTAAAGACAAAGAGAGAATCTTAAAAGCAGCAAGGGAGAAACTGTTAGTCACCTACGAAGGAGCTGTTATAGACTGTCAGTTGATTTCTCAACAGAAAATTTGCAGGCCAGAGGGATTAGCAAGAACTGTTCAAAGTGATGAAAAGCAAGAACCTACAACTAAGATTACTCTACCCAGCAAAGCTATCATTTAGAATCAAAGGACAGATAAAGAGCTTCCCAGACAAGAAAAAGCTGAAGAAGTGGATCACCACCAAACCAGTATTACATGAAATGTTAAAAAGTCTTCTTTAAGAAGAAGAAGAAGAAGAAGAAGAAGAAGAAGAAGAAGAAGAAGAAGAAGAAGAAGAAGAAGAAAAGGAAAAAAGAAGATAAAAAATATGAACAATAAAATGGCAAATATATGTCTACCTACAATTAAACCTGAAAAACAAAACAAACAAGCAGAGCACAAACAGACTCATAGATACAATACAGAGAACACTTTGTGGGGTTGGATGAAAAAAGTGAAGGGATTAAGAAGCACAAGTTATTACTAATAGAACAGTCATGAGGTTGTAAAGTAGAACATAGGGAATATAGTCAATAATGTTCTAATAAGTATGTGTGATGTCAGATGGGTATAAGATTATCAGGGCAATCACTCTGTAAGTTATATAATGTCTAATCATTGGAGTGTACACCTGAAACTAATATAGTAGTGTATGTCCACTGTAATTTTAAAAATGATTTAAATAAAAGAGGTTGGACAAGATGGGAGCCTGGGAGGGTGGAGATAAAGTGGCTTGGCAGTCGGTCCTGAGGTCATGAGCTGTTTTTGCCACGTTGCAGCCATGTGCATTGGTAGGCTTCATGACTTCTCAGTTTTGTCATTGGGAAATTGAAGATAATTATTTTCTCTACTTTAGGGCATTGTTGCGAGGATTCAACCAGGTAAGCATACCAAGCACTTAACAGTGCTTGGCATGTAATCAATTCTCACTTAAATTGCTCATTAGTATGTAACTGGCAGTCATAGAACAACTTGCTTACTTGTCAGGCTGATGTTTATACATCTAGCCAATGGTTTAACTGCATGTGTCCTCTGATTCAGTTCAGTTCAACAAGCATCCATGAGCATCCAGAAACACACGGGTCATTAGGACATGCTCTGCCATCAAACTGCTCCAAAGCTACTAAGGCAGGTAATTAGCCAACCAATTAGCCATAATACAAGTGATAGTATTGCACCAGAGAACAATAGTATCTAGTCAGTTCAAAGACCACTAGAGTTTCCAAAAGAAGTGTTTCAAAAGAGAGATTCTTTTTCATTTATCAAGTTAGAAACAGTCCTTTATTTTTTTTGAAAGGTGGTAACTAGCATTGGAAACAGTAAAGAGAAATGGAGACTGAAATCCACTGGTGGTGAGTAAATTCACACTTCCTCTTAGAAGAGAACTTAGCATTCTGTGCACTAAAAGCAAAAAAAAAAAAGCAAAAAAACATATAAGTGCTTACTCTAGTAATTTTTCCTAAGAAAATAATTAAAAATACATAAAAAGATTTAGCTACAAAAAGTCTCTACATGAAATGGGTTTTAAAAAATAGGAATTACCTAAATATCTGACCACAGAGAATTGATTATACATACAAAACTATTATTTTCATGCAGTAAAATGCTATTCAGCCATAAAAATAATTTCCAAACATTACTTGAACATTTCAGTATATTCCTAAGTAAGAGAAGCAGCTGCTAGAACAGAAATGTGCTGTGGTCTGTGTGTTTGTCTGTGTGTGTGAGTGATAAGGGTCAAAAGACCCATAGAGATAGTCCAAATTTTCCCTATTTGCACTTTCTAATTTTGCTAGTAGCATGTTTTCTGTGTTGCAACAAGAAAGAAGGGAGTGAATCTCTTTTCTTTAAAGCACAGTTTGGCCACCAAATTTCTGAATCTTTCATATTGTTTATCCCAACACCTAGCCACCTCTTTTCACACTTGGAGCAAACCAGAAACAATCATGTCAGGCTTCTCAAGCACAGGAATTATATGATACTCATCTTTGTAATTTCGGTGTCTAACATAGAACCAATGTTGAAAGAACGGATAAATTAATCTATAAATAAACAAAGCCTTCACATTGAAAAATTCCCATATTATTTCTAGTAAAAAATTTTAACCAATTTCTTTGCTATTATAAAACAGGTTTAATTCATTTAAAAAATCTCACACGTGGGCTTTCTTCATGGGCAGAATCAGGTGGCCTTAATTCTGCAGTTAATTTGTTCTGATGGTGGGATTAAAAACAAACAAACCCTAAATCTCATAAAGATTCAACACCTGCAAACTGGGGATGACAATACCTCCTCAAGGTTATTGCAAATGTTGAAATAACATAAGAAAAGGCACGTGATTTGGCACACAGTATACAATTTTTAGTTTATTCATCCTCTTTCCCACTATTGTTTA